AGCAAATAAGATTTCGGCAACAAGTTTTAAAGATATTTGTTTGCATTACAGTGTATGTGCATGTGTTTGTGCATGCGCTTATAGAGGCGCCTGAATTAGAAAATACGCAAAGTGGATTCAAGCGACTGAAAGAATGCGTTGAAAAAGGTAAAGAAAATTAAAAACAAATGTTTGTGGGTTTTAGGGTTTAGGGTTTAGTGTTTAGGGTTTAAGGTTTGTCTGTTTGTGCTGGAGGTGCATCCGTATGATATGCTGCTTGATTTAATTCTTTATTATTTAATTTAATTAGAGTTTTGCTGCTCTTCATTTTTATTTGAGTTTTTTTTGAAGTTGTTTGTCTGCAGCGCAAGCCGACATCATCGATCAGTTCTCCTTTATTCCGGAGAGTGAGTCATTCACACATTTATTCTTTAAAAATAGTAAAAATATGTTGATGTATACACCCTGATATATAAACCAACATATATATACATATATATATATATATATGCATATATATATACATGTATATATGCATATATATATGTATGTACACTTATGCATCTACATATATATACCTGTATATATGTATGTATTGATAAACAAAACGACTGCAAGCTAAATATATAAAGCATATGTTTGTTTGCTGCCTCCTCTTTTTGCTGCGATTTGCTGCAGTGCTGCACTTCGACATGCAAGCGGGGGTTTGCGGTATGGCTGTGAAAGAGCGCAGAAAACGAGAAAGCGTTTACTAATTGAAAAATATAATAGAGATGAACAAAGCAAGAAAGATAAAACAACGACAGAAAAGAAGAGAGAGTGCACAAAATAATAGAAAAGAAAATATCAGAAACGATGGCTGACGCAGAAAACGAAAAAGAAAACACCGAAAAGCTTCAATCATATTTCCTCAAAAGAAACAAAAATAATGAAACAAAATTAAAGATTAGTGTTATGTTAAGGACGAACATTAAACAATTATTATTTTTAACGTTGATTTTCTCGTTTTATCTTCTTCTTAACGTGAGGCGGTTAATCAATAATCAAATTGTTTGTTTAATTGTACTATATATTTTGAGTTTGTTGTTTTTTAATCTTCTCAGATTTTATGGGTCTAAAGAAACTCAAACAAAAATATGACCTCGTTAAACGCGGTAAGAAACTGCATGAGGTGTATACACACCTGAATAATAAATAATAAATTTAGTGACTGTTTGCTCTTCACTTTTTTTATTCTTCTTTTTTCTGAATGATCAGCAACTAGTTCAAAGCCTTTTTTCATATTTTTTTAAACAATAAAAGGAAATATTATATCTTCTTTTCTGTTTCTTCTGCTTCTCTTTCTTCAGCTCTTCAGGAAAGCGGCAAACAGCCGGCACTGCTCGCTAAAGTGGAAGAGAAGGAGAAAATCGGTGAACTAAGTCGCTTTTTGCTATTTTATTCGTTATAATGCATTATAATGGTGTATAAATTGATCAAATATACATAAGGAACATTGAAATAAAATAAACATTTGGCTTTACAGTGGTGAAAACATTATTTACTTTGCTGCAGTCAAACACAACTGCAAGCCAATTCAAAGTCGAAGTGCAGTTTGCGCTGAAGTTGAATTTCAACATTTAAACATGTCTCCAGCAAATGAACCACTATGTGTTCCTAATGTACTTACATATATATATATATATGCACACGTACTTATATAGACATATATTTATATATACATATATACTTACATATAGATATGCATATATATATATATATATGGATGCAGACGCCGCTTGTTTTTAAACATTTTATTTGCATTTGTGCAGTGTGCTAAGCTAATAAGAGGCAATTGAAATTATGTTTGAGGATTCGATTAGGTGGATAATATGCATTAATGTGTTGCGATGCATTTATTAATTTGATTTATTTGTTTTTTGTGTTTTTTTCTCTCTGCAGTTTCTGCACGACTTGTTGCGGTCTCCTGTCTTGTAGACAAACGGGCGTTGAAGAGTACGCAGCATAAAAAAAGAAATGATTTTAGTACTCTGTTCATTTTGATAAAATAAAAAGAAGAATAATCTCTTTATTCATTTGTGTCTTCTGCTCTACTCTCTAGAAAAAAAAATATCTTTGTTTGTTTCTTCACCTTCATTCTCTACTTTTAGTGCTTTGTGCATTCAGCTAAATGAATAAATTATTAACTATATTTGTTTAGTTCTCTTCTCTATCTTATGATGCTTCTGTTTTTTCTGTCATTGTTTGTGTTATGTGTTGTTTCAAATACAATCCTTTTCTATTTGCATTGTGCATTTGAAGAGGAAGATGAAAACAAATATTATTAATTCTTTTTCTATGAATAATATTTGTTTTCTTTTCTTCTCTATTCTATTATATACACCCTGCAGCAATACAGCTCTTTCTTTTTGTTTGTTTTCTGCTGTTTGTTTGCAGCCATTGCAAAGTATCTAAGGCTGACAATCGAGGGTAAGTGAAAATAAATACAAATAAGGAGCGAAGATAAATAAAAGAAGTTATTAAATAATTTATTTTATTAAAGAAAGAAAAAAAGATAAATAATAGAAATACTCTGCAGTATTTATTATAATAATATATAATAATAATAATAATATATAAAATAATCTGCATGCAGCTTCTGCTGCTGATGCTTCCCCTCGTTGTCTCTGCTACATATCTTTGCTTATTTTATTTGTTTTTGTTTTATTTGTTTTAATTTTATTGTAATGTTTTGTTTATTTATATTTTATTTTAATGTCAGACTTGCTTTTATTTCATTTAAGTGCTATATTTCCTTTTATTTTATTTAATGCTTTATTTGTTTTATTTTATTTTAATTTTCTCAGACATCGGCAAGCCAAATGCAGACAAAGCAGAGCTTGAAAAAAATGTGAAGAGAGTGCTGGCGTATGAAGCGGGTAAATTCTACGCACTCTCCTCACTGCAGAAATCTTTACTTAAAGTTCTACAATTAAGTAGTATATATCTATGTATATAAATTTAACTATATATATATCGGTATATATATATCTATATCTATCTATATCTATATCTATCTATATCTATATATCTATATCTATATCTATATCTACATCTATATCTATATCTATATCTATATCTATATCTATA